ATTTAATATTACTTAATATTAAGTAAGGGATAAGTCATAGGTCATTATTACTTACAAAATTACTTTGCCCATCTCTAAGCAGCATTATGCAGAGTTACACATAATTATTAAGTCGCGAAGATAAAAATTTGTGATGCAAACAATGATCCAACACTAATCTGGCCTTTTTTCCGAGAAAGTCGTTACGTATACCGAATACGTCCCGGTCCGATTCGCATGTAGAATCCAATTGTATCGATAGTTATGTAATATAATTATAGCCTTCGAAGCCCTGCTTAGATTTATTTCGCTCACAAATCAGCTATAGTGAGTTGAAAGTTTTAACGACTGACTCGCTGTTCTTCAATGTTTCACTACTTATGATTTTTGAATACTTTAAAAAATCATTACTTCGGAGGACAGTTCAGTTAACTTATCTTGTTATGGCTAATATTATAATTTTTTTTTTTAAAGCAATAATTTAAATATGTAAAATTATTCATTCTAAGTTTTTTTTTGGCAAAGTGACTTGAAATTCTAATCAAACTAGTGTCATTAGCGTTAGTTCAATAATTCATTGAAGGTATTAAGTCACATGACATACGCGGTCCAGCAACTTGGATCTATCGTCTGTATTGGTGGACAATTATATTTAAAAAAAGATTTTCCTTACAAGTAGTCTCTCCTTTTTCTCCCTTTTCTTTCGCTCCTTTCAACTGTAACTGTTTACCGTTACGCCACCGATAATTTTTTTTTCTACCAAGTATTACTACTTGTTTTTTTTTATAACGCCTTCTTTATTTTAAGTCAGCTTTAAGAATACAGTAACAAATTTATACTGTATTTATTTTTTATTTTATATATTTTACTTTATTTATTATTTTTGCATGTGAACGTTCATATGAATCACTATATTGAATCATATGAATTATTGTATTAAAAAAAAAAAAAACCAATGACCCCAACTATTATACCCTTTTTATTATTATTATTATTATTAAGAAATATGTGTGTGTGAAATAAACATGAACATTGTTAAAAAAAACATAAAAACACATAACAGTACAGTATATTTACAAATTAACAATTTAGCCAAATAGTATTGGCAAAAATGATAACATTACTAATATAAAAATGCCTATTACTATGTATAAAAAAAAAGATAAATTATAATAACGTTTAATAATGTTTAACCACCAGCAAATGTCCAACGCCTTATTCTAGATTCTTCACTATTATCGATCGGTAAATTATTTCTACTAATATTTTGAACTGGTTGTGGTTGTGGTGAGGCTAATACGTCACCGACAGAAAGTCTTGTCTGTAATTGTCTACCACGTCTTCGTCGCTCACCAGCACGACGAATAGCTTTTAGATATTTCGCCCATCGGAAATGTGGAAAAGCATGTGTTGAAGCTTCGTTTTCATTTTGAACATTTGAAGCATATGGAGCATATGGAGTAGTTGGAGTATTTGGAACAGTTAGAGTATTTGGAGTATTTGGAGTATTCGGAGTATTCGGAGTAGTTGGAGTATTTGGAGTATTCGGAGTAGTTGGAGTATTTGGTATAGTAACATCAGCGCCTATTATTTCGTTTAGAAAACCAACAGAACCTATTGATGTTGATGATCTAGAAGCAATATCATTTATAGTTGATATAGAATTAATATTCCAAGAAGTATAATCAGCCTTGCACATCGGGCACATTGGAGAAATATCAAGAAGCCATGGATCAATACATGTTCTTTAAGATTATAAAATTATAAAAATAAGTAATTAATGAATATATTAAATAATGAGCAGAAATGTAAAAGCATCTTTTACAGTACTAAAAGAAAACTCACGTATGATATTGATGATGACATGGCAAAATTCTCAATTCTTCACCAGATTCAAAATCACCCAAACAAATTGGACAAGTCAATTGTTCCTCAGTTATGGTTGAAGAAATTTCTGTAAATGAAACTGAAGAATTATTATTGTGTCCTATAAAAACTCCAGGGATGATATAATCATTATCCTCATCTATTGGATATAGTCTTCTTCTATTATCAGTATTCTCATTAGGTTCAGACATTTCAATTTTTATTACGGAATCCGAATCTGAGTCAACATTTTTTCCTTTTTCGGTATCTTTAGGATCAGGTTTATTTCGTGTAGTAAAGAAATAAACAGGAAAGCTCTCTAATACAGCTTTAGCTATACCATTTTTTGGATTGCTATCATCTTGATCTTGAACATCGGTAGGAGGCCGAAGCCTGCTCCTTATTACATTTATGAATACCACAATAAAAAATAAGCCTAAAAGAATGCCAGACACAGTATATAATATAACCATAGCAGTCTGATAACCTTTGACCGTATTATCAGAGGAAACAGGTGTAGATCCATTGTTTGAAGGATTATTAATCTGTATAGTTGCATCGAGACCAAAGAAAATCATATTTGTATCGCTTTTATTAGAATGACAGTCATTGCTTACTTCATTAAATAAAGGGATTATAATATCACTTGAAGTAGATTGAGGTGTACAAGGTTTACCATTATAATTTAATACTATAGCAATAGTATTATTACTTCCTTGTGCATTAATGATGTTTCGTGTACTATTTCCATCACATTGAATGTATACTATTAGAGACGTGCCAAGTGGAGAGGTTGGAGGCCACCAAATTAACGAACCCTGAAAGCCAAAAAAAAAAAAAAATTATTAATTAGTATATCACACATATATATATAATTCATTTAAATTAACGTTACTAGGCGAAGCCCTTATATGAATGTGGAAATTCATCGAAGCTATCGAAACTATTATTTTTGAGAGCTTCCGTACGTAATATTTAACTAAAAAACCAAAATTTTCTGTAACCACACGAACGTACATTAAATTCTGTCTGAGAAGATGGATTTGATAGACAATTTAATTTACATTTTGCCGGAGAAGTCGAAGAATTCGAAGAATTCTTTATGGACATGGTATAACTTTGTGATGAGATGTCAGTCATATAGCTACTAATATTATTGCTTTGCGAACTTGCTGAAGATATAAAAATCCAAATGAATGCACTAAAAAAGATCCATGTTATATTGAACGGTTTCATGGTGTTATTTTGAGAGAAGAAAAAAAAAAAAAAAAAACTAGGATAGTTTTTTTTTTTTTTTGTAGGATTGCTAATTTTATAACAATCCAAGATCAAAAAGATTTTTAAAAATATTTGTAAATTTATACCGATAATGCAAATTATTAACTAACATTTATTAAAATTTAAAATTCATTAAAGGAAAATTTTCTATTTTTTATCGTTCTAAGTAGTAAAAGTAGTTATTGAAGAGAGTTTACAAAAGAAGCATAGTTCAAATTGTTAATTTTTTTTACACAGAGTATTATATTGTCTTATTTTGGATAATTAGATTTAATATAATGTTTTTCAAATTTATAAACGTGTAACGGTGATCGATAAATACAATAAATTAAAATTCCGGAAGTGTTATATATCATGTATATCGATATGTATATATATACGTATATCTATATGTATATCATCTATATGTATATCTATATGTGAATTTCTACACTTGAAACGATTCAAGAATATGAGTTATTATATCACAATATGTGAAAATAAGCTCAATACGTGAGAAAGGCTTAATACTTGTTATATGTTTAATGAATAGCATATTATATATCAAATATGCATTGATGGGATAACAAGATAAATGTGTCTTTTTGATAAATAAAAATAGAAATATTTACATCGTACGTATGCACATTCATCCAACAGGTAATAAGAAGGGTTCTTGCATTGGCAATGAGCAACTTAATACCATGGATTAAATAAATGGGCTCGTTATTTAGACATTTAAGATATTTCGAATTATTCTTGATTGATTACTTTCGAAAAAAAGTTATTCTTTTAATTAAGATTATTCTTTAAATAATAAATATTATTCTTTGAGTGAGATTAGAAAACGCAAAGTTATAATCATTTTTTACCAAGCTATATTATATTGTCTGTGTCTTGAGAACTGCATGCCGGTTACCACATAAAGGGGTGTGTGGGGATGCAAAAAAAAATTTGTTACAATCCCCTTTGTGTTTTGACCTTTTTTTTTGAAATTTACGTTGTTTAACGATAAGGAAGATTTTAATTGGTATTTTAAATAATATTTTATTATCATACGTAATACCTTTTTTTGGGTTGTTACTTGGCAAAAATATACTTCAGGTACTTAGGAAACACCATTTTTAGTTTCTCCGCGATTTAAATATCTTTTTTTAAAAATTTGATGAAGAGTAAGTATTATGGATTTTTATTTCCCCTGCATCATGGTCATTTTGATTTTTTACTATTCCAGTTCATAGTTATAGGTACGTATGTAAATGTCATCGGAACTTGTTCTTACCGGCTTTCGATAACGGTTATTAACCGTTATTATTATTATGTAATATCTCGGATATCGTATTTATGTCCGAATGTCCGAATGTACAATACGTGCATATTCAATATATAAAGACCAAGGATGTCTACCAAAATAATAATAAAAAAAATTTTTTTGAAATCAATAATTCTTAGCGTTAGAAAAATATTACACGAAAAAAATTAGTGTATCAAATTTATTATCAATTACCAATTTTAGAAATCTTTTATCTAGCCTATTAAGGAAATTGGCTAAAGCTCGGCGCGCAGTCATTAATCAAAACTAGGGTAAGGATTAGTTTCGGGTTTGAGTTAAGTTAGATATAGAAGTAAGTGATATTTTTAGACGCTCTTCTACTTTTTTTTTTGTCTTGTGACGATGATCCAGTTTAATAACCTTGTTGCCCATTAGTCACATGAATAAACGCGCTTTATACAAAAGACAACTGGGCATGAGTCAGGAACGATCAGGAACAAATAAAAACATTGTATCATAAGATATTCATTTAGCAATAAGATAACAGGTCTAGTGTTACAAACCTAGACTTTATCAAATGTTACGACCGTTTTTGCGTTATACCTTAGGGTTGTAGTTGGGATGGTTGACGCAAATATTTTTTAATGGCATGCCATTAATATTTTTTGGCACATGGCATGCCATATGGCGCACCTTTCATATAATGCTCCGCCATAGTGCCAGAAAATTTTTTAAAAATTTGAGGAATTGCTCGCCATATTTAAATTGGTATACCATGGCACTCCTGATTTGTGATGCGCCGTTGGCGACGCCATCTATTTACCTTACGCCAACCACTAGTGATGTGATAGAATTGTCCCAATGATTATCGTAACTTGCCGTAACTATAGTAAGTAATATATAAGCTACGGTAACTTACTATATTACTTACTATAGTTACGGCAAGTTATGATAATCATTGGGACGATTCTATCGCATCACTACCAACCACCTAGCTGTATGGTGCGCCAAGTTACTTCACATCAAATACCCCGATCACTATATCAAGATCACGGGTATTTAGTCTGATCCGTATGTGTACAAGCGGAAACGAAGTTTCCGCTAATTCCCAACGGCTCAAGATATTTTTATTACAAATTTTGACCAAGTATTTTTAAAATAAGTATTATTAAAAAAATTCATCGAAAAAATGGATCTTTATTTTTAGCTCTATCAAATTTATCGGTTGTACTTGTATATTAAGAAATAAAATTTTTTTTACTCCATCAAAATGGAAAAATTCACATGTAGACGTTATTCTAATAGCAAAGTTTTACTCCTGTTGTATAACTAAGTAAAAATGCTCCTCTCGCAATTTTACCTTACCCTAACCTCTAACCTTAATCCTAATTCTAACCCTAAGGTTAATATAGCTACAAAATTTTTTTTATAAAAAAACTAAATTTGATATATAGTACGGCTACATGTAGCCGTGACTACAAATAAATTAATTCAATCACAATTAGTCAAATAAATAAGTCATTCTCGTTATAATGAAGTGTTCGGGCTGAGATTTTCTTCGAGAATCTAACTATATCGAGAGATAAACTTGTCTACGAGTGATTCACTATAATGGGAGACTTGTATATAAATATATATATATATATATATATATATATTT